AAGTTATATATTGCAGCGTAGATTAGTTCTGGTCTTTCAGTTTTTTGTCCATTTTCACCTGGTGCCTCTACCAGTAACGCACTTCCAATGCTAGGGGGACACACTTACCCTCCTGTATCAGGGCAACAGAAACAAGGGCTACAGAACCCTACCTCTTCCCTAATTGTCTGTAAAAGGGAGGGGTTTTATAGTCTTCCAAGCTAAGAACGCAATGACAGAGGGCACACTGAGTTTATCAGCTCACAAGATTTCTGGAAAAATCTACAGGCTTCTGGGTTTTACTCATCAAAATTGATATGACAAACCTTTTTCAAATGGTATTTAACAGAATACAATGGAACCAATGTGCACTGTACATACACCTTATAGTAAATCTAAAACCTAACTGGGTGACTTTTTTTTTGCAACAGAAAACAGTATATCATAAAGAAAAAATCATGTTTTTTTTTTCTTGTTGAAGCTAACACGACAAACTTTTTTTATCCTTTTGTTGCACCTCAGGGCTGCTGATTTCCTCCAGCCTCTTTCTGTCCACTTAGACCAGCTCCAGCAGCATTTGCATATCATTGATTCAGGCAGGTTTCCCAATGGTGACAACTAGGGTTGCACAGATACCAAGTACAGTACTCGGTACAAGTACAAGTACATGTACCAATACTTTTGAGCTCCAAGACTACACTAGAGAAAATGTCAAAAATTAGGAGGCAGCTGTAATTTGTAAGGAGCACACGGAGCTCCTGGGATTTGTACATCTCTGTTTTAATGTACGATTTTGTTTTTATGAATATAAATAAAGGGATGCACAGATACCAGTTTTGCGAGTACGAGTACTGGTACTTGCCGAGTACTTACAAGTACGAGTACTGATACATTTTTGTTTATTGTCATGTGACAGTTTTTCTAAAACAATAAAGACTAATGATTTCAGGACAGTGATGGAGCACCAGAGCCAGGTCCCAGCTGCAAGCGCTGCAACCCTGGTAGTTCTCATGAAAATGCCAAGTATCTGCACTGGTACTCGAAAAGTATCTGTGCATCCCTAGTGACAACCATAAAACACGTGCCTGCAATGTTGCCACAGCCACTTACAGTTACCACCAGATGCCCATCTCAGAGCATGACAATGCAGGAGAGTAATTGAGAGACAAGGACAGGGTACGGTCACCACATAACAGGAAGTTCCTGAACAAGGATCTTCCTGAATGATCAGCAGGTATTATTTTGATTAAAGCTTTATATTAAAAAAAAAGAAAATACAATTGAAATGGCAGTCACATATTAAAGATTATATGAGGTGCTAGCGATTGGGTTGACATCTACTTATTTATTACAGGCATTTATATAGTGCCATCAATTTATGCAGTGTTTTACATGTGCACATTCAGATCAGTCCCTGCCCTCAAGGAGCTTACAATGTAAGGTCCCCATCTCACATACTTACGGGGCCAATTAGGAGCCAATTAACCTACTTAAAAATCAATCAAATTCAAATATATTATACAAACTAATTACAATGCAGAGTATACTGCTGACCTGCCATACAATATTAAAAATGGATAGACACTGGTGACTTCAAACATTAAGTGGTATCTTTTAATTCTTGTGGGTGCTGCACCCGATTTCCCAGCCCTACAGACCTAATCCATCCTTATCACCATTATTTCAGAACACAAAAGGGACATTTGAGAATTCCTTATTTGGTATCGGCCACAAAGGGCCAGAGAGACAGACAAACAGTCAAAGAAATATCAAACCAGTTCGTAATTCACCCAACAATATCAGCCGAGTGACCTATGAAACTGCTTTGGTGTAGCGCTGGAAAAATTGCACAACCCAACTATTTTTTTGCGTTCGGTTTTATTTAAAATAGTTTCCAAGGAAAGATACAATGATTTTTTTTACAAGAGAATGTTGACATTTATCGCTGAACATGTGAATGACATCATCATTATACTTAAAAGTTTCCCCAACTTCGTCAGTTTACTGCAATACTTGTCTCTCTCTGATTTATCTGCTCATAAAGTCTGTCTGATTTTTTACAATAACTAAACAAGCTATAAATGTTTAGAAGGCAGAGCACTGATAATCCAGCAGGCTTGTTTATTCAGATAGTGAAAAAAAAAAAATTTGAAGTAAGGTAACCCATAGTAGTTTCAAAGCCAGATTGTTAAAAGATGCATTCTGATTGGTTGCTATGAGCTGATGTACTTCATTATATTAAAAAAGCTTGCAAAGGCATCACAAGTATAGCATCCATTTATTACAAACCTATAGGGATCAGTGAACAAAAACGCAGTATGACACATTACAAACATGTTCATATACAACTTGAAAGACCAGTACAAAGAGCTGCTCCATACTGGTTTTTGCTTTAGTTGGGCTGGACAGGGTCTTTATCTCAGATCAGGTCCTACATGGGGAGATTCCACAGTTCAGTTCCAACCATGTAGGCCAGAGCTCAGAAAGATATGAGAGCGCTCAGAGAAGAGAGAGAAAATAGAAATATAGGGAAATTAGGCATGAGCTCAGCTTCAGAGCGACCCTGGTCCAAACCTGAGCTCCTCCAAACCCATAGGCTGCATGTGGCTACCCGCCCAATCAGCTGTAGTCTGGGGTATTCCCCACCCTGCAGTTACACATAAAGACAGGGGCAGAATGCTTGTGCTGACATCATTGACCTTATCCATATTAAGTCCATGTAATTGACTGAATGAAGCAAAGCAGCCATATTAGGTCAAAGACTTCACTGAATCCTGGCCCATTTGCATACATACAGCTGTGGGTGAAGAATTTGCCAGCCGCAGCTGATCAGGCTGCAGTGGATCTCCTTCCGTTTTCGGAGGTTGGGACTGGGTTCATGCCTAATAGAAATATACACCAGAGACTGAAACCAGAACATTCAGCTCACAGCAAAGCCCTTTCGATCCCAGCAGAACCAAGGGTGATGGCATGTCACAGACACCAGTAAAGGCTTCACCACATTTTATCCAAATGTAGATTTTGGCTGCAGTTCTTCTTTAAATACAAAGCAGTTTATGCCTAAAAACTAAACGGCATTCATAAATATATAATTGCTTCAAATGCTTATCACAAGGGAACATATTTGAGGACATTAGGAGATAAGCCAACTGCCAGGAAGATATTTTGTCTGGCCTGTTCTCCTATGAACATCTGTGCTGGTAACCTATGGGCAGGCATGATTACATAAGCAGCAGATCACTGTGATATGGCTCCTACTGGGGAAAACAAGGCGTTGGTCGATAAATTCCTAGCTCAATTGCTTTTTTTCCCAAGATACAGTTCAACAGAGGAAGTTCTCCACAATCACCCCAACTGTCGCCTAATTCTGACAAAATCCTTAAACAGAAACAATCATGAGATAAGCTAGGAATACTTATACATTAGCCCGTTTCATTTACATTTACTGGACCATGAAACGGAGACCATAAAATGTATTTATGTGAAAGAGATCTGTGTACAAGAAAGTACCCACTCCTGTGCAGAAAAAGATATTTGTTAGCTGCTGCTATTATATGATTGCTTGAAGATTATAGAAGAGTACTGATCCTATAGGATGAAGGAGAATTACTGAACAGGAAGTCAGCTGTGTTCCGGAACAACTATACCAGCACTTGCTCAAATATCTTCTATCGTGATAAAACCACTGAAGCATTTACACATATGAATGCTATTTAACGCTTTGCTTATATATACTGTACCAAGTTGTGACTGATGCAGAATTCCTCTTTACAAAGTGCTTTCCATGGTCCTGTCATGGCGACTGAAAGCTGCAGGCCTGACTGTCCTGGCCCTAACAAGGCAATAGATGAGGGCAGTGCTTTAATACAGCAGCTCTGGACAGCCTTCCAGCTGCTCAAAAAGATGACCAAGGCAAACCCTGCCTTCAGCAAGCTTCTTTGAGCTTTTTTTTTACCCCCACCCCCCTTTATACAGGTTATAAACAGCTGTAGGTGAAGGTTATAAAAAGGACCAATTGCTCTATATTGGGATCTGCAGCAGTTTGGGTATTAGAATGGGCTACCTAACAATACAGAAAGCTCCGTTCCTGCAGCATAGTCTTGGTAGGCAGATCTGCCATACTGTTTGCTTGCTCCAGGCCTTGAATGCAGTTCTAAGCAGGGCAGGTAACAGGGCTACAGGCAGGGATGATAGGGTCTGTAGAAGATTAGTCATTATTCCCCATAAGGAAATCTGCTACCGAACCTGCCTTCCCCAATATCTCTCATCACCGACTACTATATAAACTATATGACCAATACAATGTGGACGCCCCTCCAAATTACTGAGTTCAGGTGTTTCCAGTCAAGTCTTGTTACTGCTACAGCTTACAATCATATTGTTCAATCTCCTTTTGATCAATCAGCAACTTTGAGCGCAAGGGCCTGCTTGATTGGATAGATTACGTAGGTCCTCATATTACATAGTGTGGGTAGATCCAAAGAAGATTGTACAGAGATTGTGAGGTCAGACTGTAACAAGTACGGTGACCCTTTGAAAATTGTGTGCTTCTAACCTTGTGGCAACAGTTTGGGGGAAGGCCCTATTCTGTTTCGGCCTAAATGTGCCTCTGTGCACAAAGCCAGCATGGCTTAACAAGTTTGGTGTGGGGGAACTCGAGTGGCCTGTACATGGCCTTGACCTTAACCCTACTGACCACCTTTAGCATGTATTGGAACTTCAATTGCGACCCAGGTCTTATTGTCCAACACAAATACCTGACCTCACAAATGCTCTTTTGGCTGAATGGGTCAAAATATATATAGACACACACAAAATCTTATGAAAAGCCTTCCTAGAAGAGTGGAGGCCACTTTGCCCAAATAGGAAGGGGGGAGCAACTACATATTAACGCCCATAAATTTTTTGGTCACATAGGGTACTAGTGTCAGAGTATGTACTGGCCCCGGAAGGTGGGGATATATATTAAAGGCAATTTATTCTCCTAAAATGCTGCAGGATAAAACAATTAGCTCTTTGTAACCAACTCTCGTCTTTTAAATTGTTTGCATTCTAATATTGCAGGATTGTATAAAGTCTGCAGAGGTCACCTGCACCACAGACTAACCACTCGCTGTTCTTTGCTGCATCCGCTGCCTGGTACGTTTCAGAAGAAAGTCTCTCTACACAGGGGACACGTGGACTTGTTGCTGGAGGTAAACCACTTGTACTGCAAGAAAGAAGGCAAGAATGAATATAAAATGTTTCAATAGTATTGAAAACAGAGCTTGCTGGACAACAGCCGTAAATCTTCATCTACTACAAACACATTTTAGTCACGAGGAGAGCATGCGCTACACTTCACTGACTACTAAAAGGTCCCAAGAGCTTCACCTGTGGCTCCTCTTAATGATTCGCGCTAGACTTACTGACTTAATCCTTAAATCTGACCAGGCCAGCATTTACGACTTGCCGAGGTTAGATACAGTCATTGCGCCAGGGTTTTATTAGCTGTAAACGCAGCGGTAGAGGGTGGGAATGTGCTGCTCAGCCACCTTTAAGGAATGATAGTCATGCCAGACTTTCCACAGAAAAGATATTGCCCAAGACTATCAGACAAAGCTGCAGCCCATATTAAAACCATTCACTATTACGCCTGCTGAACTTTAACGCTTCTTTATAAGTAAGCTTTGTAACAGTGATCACAGACAGGCAAGTTTGTCACCTTTTAAAGTTGAGCCTAAAGTTTATTAAACTCTCAAAGTTTTCTCAATAATGAATTCAGATCAACCAAATATACATCGCCCAGCAAAGTGTTTCTTTACATTTTTGCCCAAGCACTTTCAGTCATGATGTTTCCATCTGGCTCCAACTCTCTCAGCTCAGCTTCCCTGAAATTCCTGTGCAGTACAAGATCACAAGCGACAGAAAAGTCTCCAGCAGAAGTCCATCTACTAGACTGGAGAAGGGTGAATGGAGGAGTGGGGAGGAGGGGGGAAAACTTGCCTTGCCTGTGTGTTTATGGAACCTTGCCCCACTCTTTACCGGTTATCCCAGAAATAATGGGTGCTTGTAATGACTGTGGATGACACAGTTCCAAATACAGTAACAATTGCAAAATGTCATCAGCACAGAGATTCGCATCGGTGCAAATCCATTTTATTGGTAAATGTCATGAAGACAATCGCATCGGATCCTCCAGCGCTGACTGTGCAGTCAGCGCTGGAGGATGGGGAAGGAGGGATACCTGCCGGGAGCGGCGACTGACAGTCATCACTCTCTGCAGGGAGATGATCGAAAAGTGAGTGAGCAACGGTATGTGTTTGTTCACTTCCCGATCAATAGAGCCGACCTGTGATTGTTTCATTGTCACAGGTCGGCTCCAACTATGAGGAATAGTGTTAATCACTCACCTCACAGTTTTATCTTATCAACAAACTGGTAATGTAAATGCTTAAAAAGTGTTGGAGTTTAATGTGTTTGTCCCATTTAAAAACTACATGTAAGACTACTGTGTCCAAAAGGGTGGCAAAGTTGCTGCACAATTTTACTGCAGAGCAAGGAGCACGGTCACCCTGCCCTTTGTCTGGAGTTCACCATCAATTTTGACACTTAAGCTGGCCATGCACTGTGCGAATTGGCTGGCTCTTCATCAACTGGCCATAATTCACACAGCGGGCGGCCCTATAGGCACCCTTGCCACTGTAGACATTCAGCTGCCCTCACTGTTTGGGCATTCTGACAGCGACACACCCGCTGCTCTCGGACTACAATAGCCCAAATGGAGATTCGTCCCTCCATTCGGTTTGATGTGATTGGAGGAATCTGTTATAATTTTTTTGTTCAGCCCACAGGTCCGTGCCAGATAACCATGGCCAGCTTTACAAACCAGATGCATTGAATAGGCTAATTAAATGGACACCACCACCTTGTCCAAACAGTGCCTCTGTTAAGGAGCACACATTACCCCCTTCTCGACCCCTTATACTCACCTTACCCTTAGCTCCCCCAGATTCTCGCTTTATAAAGCCAGTGACACTGCCAGCCTTTTCTGGGTATGGAGGACCATGTGACCTCTTCTCCTGTCTCCCCTCTACTGTTGCTGGGCCTAGCAGTGAACTCCTAGGCCTACACATGATCGCATGAACAAAGGACATCAGCGCCAGGGATTTCCGTGTTGGCCCCAAGGGATGGCAAGAGCATGCAGGTAAGGAGAGTATAATGAGCTTGGGGGAACCATTGCAGAGATTCTATAGGTTCAACTCGATTGGTCTTGCGACTTTTTTCAACCTGACCATGTAACGCTGTCACTTTGCTATGCATAAGCAAGGTGGCTATTTCTTATTAAGAGAAGCAATTACGGCGCAGGGATCTAAGATGGCCGCGTTTTAGATCTCCTCCGTGCAACACGGGCAAACTCCCTCTGCCATCGTCTTTCCAGCGGCACCAGCAGCTTACCCCTGCCTAACAGGAGTTCGACAAAGACCCCCTACACCCTTTCGCCCGATGGGGAAGACGGAGAAAGCTCCACAGACCCGCAAATCGGAGCGTGCTGTGGAGACCGCGAGGCGGCCTTCCAAAATGGCGCCCGCTCCACTCTCAACCGGACGAGGACAGCCGGCACTCAGTGGTGGATGACCCGGTGTCGAATGCAGATCCATGGCCCCGCACTCCGCTTGCTCCCAGGATCCCAGGATCCAGAAGGCGACTCGCAGATGCTCCCCCGTTTCCGCGGCATTGTCCGGGAAGAAATCTCTGCGGCCTCTTGCAAGTTATCGAGTGATCTGCTCCGCGAGATTATAGATGTAGGCCGCAGGACCACCGCTATCGAGCACAGAATTGATGATGCCACCTTAGTCCTGGACGACCATGAAAGAGAGCTGGCGGCCCTTCGGAACGAACTCGAACAGCTCAAGGACAAACAGGAAGACTCTGAAAATAGGGCCCGTCGCAGTAATGTCCGCATCCGAGGCCTCCCAGAGTCTGTTACAGACCTACCCGGTTCCATGATGGCCTTCTTACAGGAATTGGCGTCGGACCTCCCTGTGGACCATATGGAGCTGGATCGCGTGCATCGCGCACTAGCTAGGCCGAGGCCCGATGGCCCTCCCAGGGATGTGGTCCTCAAGTTCCACTACTTCCGCTCCAAAGAAAAAGTTCTACAGGCGGCCCGTGACAAAGCCCCCCTCACCTTTCAGGGCTATGATCTGCAGGTTTACTCGGACCTATCCCCCGTTACGTTGGCGAAACGTCGTGCCTTGAAGCCATACCTGATGTGCCTGAAGTCATTGAATATTCGCTACCGCTGGGGATTCCCCTTCAAGGTCTTCTTCACATACCGAGACACCCCCTATCAAGCCTCGACACCCACAGATCTTCGCTCCCTCTTCCAGGAATTGGGCTTCGCGATCCCACCGGAGGAACCCCCTCATCACCTTGCTGTTCCCCACCCGGATACGCTTCCATCACCACACCGCTCTCCATCGACTCGGAAACGCCAAGGGCACGAAGCTCCCCCTCAACGACACCGTCCAGGATCCCCCGACACCTGAAAGCTGACGCTCCCCAACCTGATGGTCACACATGACTCGCATCCCCTTGCCCGACATCCCTCCATGGAGCCTCTGAAGAGACTTCGTCCCAACAGACTGCACGCAGTCCAATCCCTGGACCGGGTTCGTATGGTTTGCCCCATTTGGTGGCTGAAGTCGTTCACTGAACCTAACTGTTGGATCCTTTATTTTTTGGTCCCCTTACGTTTTTGATTTTTGGTTTTCTGTTTTTTTGTTTCCTTTCCGGGACTTTTGAGTCTTGACATGTGCGATGGATCTCGGGAGCTCACGTTAGATGGTTTGCCTCCTGTGCCCTACTACCTCCCTCCCGACATCCATCCCGCAGTTTGCTACCTACTGTGGTCTCTTTTTGCTCTAATTATACCCTGTAATTGTTTGTCACTCCCAGACATATGGTGCACCTAGGCTCCTGAAAGGATTAGGTGATAAACGCTAGTCCCCTGCATTTCAGGACCCAGCTGGCAAGTCTCACCTTTATTTTACTGTTTGATTTCTCACTGGTGTGTGACATGTTAAGCACCTATTTCTAGGTTTGCCCCACACCCCCTATGTCAATCCCATGTAATGGATCCAGGGAGCCTACGTTCTGGCAGTGCCTCTCTCATACCATCCTGCCCCTCCTCCCGGTATCCATTCCATGGTGCATTCTAAGATGTTTCAGTAAGCCTTATTGTCCTCACTGCTCCAGCCATTGCTCGTTGCCCCGGCACGCCTACGTTACCTGATCCTGGAGAATGCCGTGGTGACGAACATTGTCTCACACCTCTCCCCCCTCCCCTCCTTGCTGTATTCACTGTATGGTGCCCATTCAACTCCTATTTAGGGAATTCCCTGCCCGGGTGGTTCCCTGCGCCTCCTTCCTGGTTCTCTGCTCCGGTAACCTCCGGCCTTGAACCCCAGTAGAGTGTACCGGCTGGTACGCTCCCTAGCACTTTCCCTTCCATCTCCACTGCGTCTCCATCCCTTCCTCTCCTTCTCATCCCTCCCGTCCCTGCCCGCCCTCTTCCCTGGTCCCTCTTTCCTACGTGTGTCTTGTCGTCCGCCCTCCCCGCACCCTCTTCCCCGCCGCCCCCACCCCCCTGAAGTACAGAGTCCCTACTCGGGCCACCGACCCCGAGCAGCACGATGCCGCTCCGCTGGCTCTCCCTGAATGTACAAGGTCTCAACTCCCCCCCAGAAACGGACGAAAGCCTTTCGCTATCTCTGTAGCTGCCATATAGACATGGCCTGCCTTCAGGAAACACATTTCTCGACCTCCAGTGCCCCCAAATATTTTGATGCTTTCTTCCCATCTGTGTACCAAGCTAATGCCTCCACGAAAACCCGAGGTGTCCTCATAGCCTTTCGTAAAACAGCGAATTTTGTCTGCATTTCTCTCCCGAATTACCCTTCCAGATATCCCACAAGCCGGTAGGGTCCTCATGGAGACGGATATCTCTGCCATCGAAGTCCAATTGGCCATTAAAGCCTTCAAAACGGGTAAACGCCCGGGCCCGGATGGATTCCCCTTCCTTTTCTATAAAAAACTATCGGAAGAATTATCCCCCCACTTAGCCTCCCTCTTTAATGGCCTCCTGAAGGGTGACTCTATGTCCCCCCACATGCTCACAGCGAACGTTGTCATGATACCCAAGCCAGATAGAGATCCCCACTCCTG